CACCATTGTGACGTACACTAAACATAACGTGGCTTTCTGGGCCTGGTCCTCCACACCCATTCAACACGCCTGACAGCAGTCCACGTGAGCCTGGTCCTCATGCGCTGTGCACTGACACTGCCGGCACCTGTTTCAGGGGAGGTGATGGGCATCCCGAGGTCCTCTCGGTGCCAAACACTAGGACACCCACATACAAGAGAGACCCCATGCCTGCCAGGAGCACTCAGTCCAGAGGGTAAGACAAGTACCAAGAGTTGCTCCCCAGGGTGATGAGCACCATGAGAGAAGGCTGAGGCCAGAGCCCCAACACAGGACAAAGGAGGCTTGATGGAAAACATGGTGCTCAGGCTGGAATTCCATTATATGTGCACCCCAATATGCCCAAATCTGTCCGCTGCTAAAGTTCAGACCCAATTACTTTTAAACTCAGCAAGATAGAGGCACCTTTCAATGGAGGTAAAAACAACTCTCCATTTTCTCCATGAGCCTAAGGTGACATTTATCCAGTTTCCAGAGAGCCCCTCACCATCAGGTTTCACAGTCCCACTGCCCCATGATGGTCTGTCCCTGCAGGCTCCCTGAAGGGATTCAAGTGTATCAGGAAAGACACGTGACACCACGTGCCCAGTGGAGAGGGCCAGACAAGGGTGCCGGAGGAAGGCAAGTTCCGGGTCTTCCTGAAGCAACAGGGCCAGGAAGGACTGGCTCGGAGGAGGGCGTTAAGGGCGGGATACAGGAGGATGTTGCACTGGCTAGGGAAAGGAAAGATGAGCACAGAACCATTCGGAGGATGGGAGGAAGGCTCCACTCTCCCTCCTCCGTCCAGAGGGCGTGGTTGACTGGCTCGGACTTGCTAATGGGAGTCTAGCTCTAGGTTCCAACCCTCAGCAGGTACATGAACTTAACCTCTCCCAGGCTCAACCCCCATCACCTGCCTAACGCAGACAGCAGTGGCTTTCTTACAGGGATAACTGGTCACACTTGTGGCTATAGACCCAAGCCTGGAAGAGCAGGAACCTTGTTTAAGGAGTACACACAACAGACACAACCACAAAGAAACCACACCGAAGCATGTACCTCCCCGTCTCAGGTTTTTTCACTCAACCCTTACTCACTCACTCTGAGTCGATTTGGACACATACCACTCCCCCCACTCTACAGGAGAGAAACTACAGCAGATTGACACACTCCTTCCCCTAATTCCATACAGATAAGGCGGGGAGGCTCAACTCTATGGAAGAAGACAAACAGGAAAAATTTTTAAAAGAAAAACAAAACAAAAAAGGGCAAACACAGGCTTCATATAAGCAGAAAATAATTCTAGATGTCCGTAGATGTTATAAAAGAAATGAAAAAAAAAAAAAGAAATGAAATGGGGTGATTGATGAGTGTCAATGAGACACAATCTCAGATGAGCGTGGACAACCATGTGACAAACTGAGGAAAGAAGCTCCCAAAGAAGGCAGGGCAAAGGCCCTGAGACACAAACGAGCTTGGCACTTTAAAAGGGGAAAGGAGGCCAACGTAGGTGCGGTGTAATGAGGGTAGGAATGGGTAGGAAACAAGACTGGGGAGCAGGCGAAGGCTAGGTTGTATCTGGCACTGCAGGTAGTGGCAAAGCTCGGCAAGTTCTGTATAAGTGCTACGGGTAGTCTTTAAGCAAGGAAGAACCAGAGCTAACTGCTACGTGGACAAGAAGGACAACAGAGGGCCAGGCTTAGAGACGTTAAATAAGCAGCTGGATGTTTCATCATCGTTACAAGTTTGCATCTATTAGCAAAACTGGTTCTTTGTCTGGCATCCCATTTTGTACACAGTACTAGGATGCTCATCTGGAACCTCAAATCTAAAAACAGAGGGCTGTCATTTTGCATCTTGGTGAAGTCTGCTGAATCTCAACTTCTCAGGGCCTCCCCTCCTGCATCAAACGAGGACTGCCCATGCTTCCACAATGCCGACATGTATGTAAACATGCTTGGTACTCACCTGCCACAGCATTCAACCAATCGTGTCAAGGTGTTCCACAGTGTTAGAAAGTTATTGCTAGAGTGAAGACCTGATGCCGGGGCTTAAGTGGAGAGCAAATGTTTTGAGAATGATGAGGGCAATGAATGTACAAATGTGCGTTACACAATTGATGTGTGTATGGATTGTGGTAAGAATCGTATGAGCCCCTAATAAAATGATTTTTAAAAATAATAAATAAATTATATATCTAAGAGGGGCTTCAAAAAGTCTGTGGGAAAAAAGTTATTACTAGAGTACATCTTTAATTTTTAAAAGTACCCTGTATGGGAAAAAACAATGTCCAACTATTACTTCTCAAGAAAGGTGAAGACAGAGAGGATACTGGGTACCCCTAGTCTTCAATTCAGCCTACCATGCTTTCTCAAACATCATCATCTCTTTGAGAGGCAATAAGAGAGAAACTATTAATGGCATATTGGGAATGCAGAGCATTACAGCCAAAGGACCGTGGGATTTGTCCAAGTAAGACCAGCTTCAGGTCAGACCCCGAGTGTATCAGCCCCACAGCGTTTTCTATCTCAAACCTGTAAAAGACGCGACAGACGGAGATTCCTCCTCTTGTAGAGAGAGATGCAGCCTCGGTCGCTATGGGGCGGCACTGACCAGTGGCAGTGAGTGAGTGAACCTGTAAAACTCAGACAAACCCAACTTCCCTCCGACGGTGGCAGCCCAGAGGCAGAGTAATACAGTGTGAAGCCATGGGCTGCTATTACCTACTGCGTCTCATGGCAAGCCCATACAATGGGATCAAACACTGCCCCTCCTGTCCCAGGTCTAGGACCAGCTACAAACCAGGCTTTGAAGATCCATAAGGTTTCCATGGGCTGACTTTCTGGTTTTCTTCTTAGTCAGGAACCTCAGATGAAACCTACTTAACATCAGAGCACACGCAAGCCTCCAGTGATAGGTGGAGGTGACTTATACCGGTATAAACACGGCCAGCAAAGACTAACGGTGGCATAGGTAAAATATAATTAATGGGCAACTGCTTCCTTGCTCCTGTGAGGCTGGAGGGGTGTGAAAACACCCCTGCTGAGAGAGAGACATATATAAAAGTTTGGAGAGTCTCAGGCAACCAAGCTGGTTGACTTCTATGTGTATGTAGGTGTGGTAAATCTTTTTTTTAATTACAATATTTTACTGTTTTCGGTGAAAGTTTACACAGCAAATCACATTCCCCGTGAACAATGGCTATGCAATTTGTTCGGTGACATCAGATACACTTTTCACAGTGCGTCAACTTTCCCATTGTTTCCATTCTGGTCTCTCCACTTCCAGTCATCTGTTTTCCCTGCTCGGCTCCCGCTCCTGCCTTCCAAACTGGGCGAGTTTGTAATGCTGTCAGGAATCTCTCCCTCTAGGAAGGGGCAAGTGTGGTCAAAGCCAATCTTCCCCTAAGGGGTGGCAACGGCAACTCCACCAAGTGAATGATGAACAAGAAAGTCCAATGTCATGGCAGACCTTGCTAACCCACTCAGCCAGCCCCTCCAGACAGGGACCACACCACCGTCCCTCCTTTTATTTTCTTTTTTTCAAATCATTTTATTGGGGGCTGGTACAACTCTTATCACAATGCATCCATCCATCCATTGTGTCAAGCACATTTGTACATTCGTCCCCCTTTTCAACCGAACCACCCAGACCTGGTCTTCTCCTGATTCCTACAATGGGAGCCATTCTGCTTGGGGAAGAAGACTAAGGGAAGCAGGGGCAGTATACAGCCTAGACAAGAAATGCTGGCGAGAGAGAGACCAGTAGGTACAGAAAAAGACAGTAAAGTATTTATTTGGTAGGATGACCTCGGGAGAAAAAAAAGAGCGGGCGATTCGATTGCGACTAGTCCGATTCGTGGTGATTCTGGGTGTGTGGGAGTAGAACTGTGTCCCACTGGGTTTTCAAGGCTGATTTTTCAGAAGCAGACAGATGCCTCATCAGGCCTTTCTTCAAAGACACCCATGGTGGGACTGCCACCTGCATTCTTTGACCTACAGTTCAGTGTGAAACCATTGCACCACCCGAGGACTTTGGTTAAAAGCTACCAAAGCTAATGAGGGGAAAGCCCTGAGCAGTTGCGCAGAGCTCCAGACACCTGGTGCAAACTAGCTGGATGTGGGACCCAGGTATCCAGCCCACTAGGGGCCTCTCTCTCCACTCCTCACACCTGTCTCTCAGCCTGTCCTCCCCAGCTTCTGCCCCAGGGCAGGAGGCAAGGCAGACGCTTCTGACAACTTGAACTTTTCCACCTTCCTTCACTCTTGGTGGGGAAGGGGTGCAGGGATCACATTTCAGCTGCCTCCCACCCCCTTCTGCCACAGGGGGCAAGGTGGCAAGGGAGCTATTGTTTTCCCCACTCGTCCTCCCCATTTTGTAGCCTCGCTTTCAGACCTGTCCTTCTTAAATTTCAGTCTTTCAGCCTTATCTTAGAGATTCCACCCCTAGCCCCCAATCTACAAATTCCTTATACTATCATCTACCTCAGGTTTATTTCAATCTCCACTTTTACGTACACACATGTACTTTAAAAGAAAACACTCTACCGTTCCAATAAATGAAGCAGTATCATATTTGCCATGCAACGCTTGAATGATGAATATATTCATATATACTTGAGCATTAACATAAATGCATGCTAATTTTTTTCTTCAATTCCCATTTATGTGCCATCGCAGTTTATCTGGGGGCCAGGGACACTACATAACACCTGGGTGCAGGGTCTATCTCCGTCTAGCCGACCAGAACTCTGGGCTTCTAATCAGAGAACACAACTCAAAGCTCGCAGATCTCCAGTTTGCCCCGTCAATGGCGTTCACCTTCTCCTCCAGACACACCGCAAAGGGCAAAGGGCAGGAGCAAAGAAAGGTCGCTGGGCGGTCCGATTTCCCTACCGGGTGACCCGAGGACGCGGAAAGTAGGGAATGAAAAGGACTTTAAAGAACCCGGTCCTGCAAGTGCCCAGGCTGGGGAGGACTGACCTTCTCGCGCAGGGTGCAGTGGACGTCCGCGGCGACGCGTCCTTCCCACCACGGCTCATCCATCGTCGTGGCCGCGGCGCCGCGATCCGAGCCTAGCGGGCTCCGCGGGCGCACCCTGCGAGGGGGACAGGGCCACTTCAGCGGCGGCGGCGCGCGCTCCCCGCCGCCGACCCCGGCACCCTCTCCGCGCGGCCGGACGGGCGCCCCTCCGGCCCCGCTCCACGGAGCTAGCGGTCGCCTCACGTCCCGAGAAGGTGGCGGAGTTCCCTCCCCTCTGCTCCCGGGCCCCGGGGCGAGCTGCAGCTTTTTCCCAACGACTTGCAGGGTTTCATCTCCCTGGTGCAAAAGTTGCACCGAAAGTTGTGGGCTCCACGAGCGCGCCCGGCGCGCCGTCCCCAACTCCTCCCCCGCCGCGCAGCCTTTGTCCCGCTCCCACCTCCTGCCCTCGGGCCGGGGCGACACTCACGCATCCCTCCCGCGCCGGGCTCGGCGGGGCCCTCGAGGGCCTGCGTGCGGCCGAGTCCCCGCCGGGCCGCTCCACGCTCTCGGGGTCCCCTCCACAGCCCGGTCGCCCCGGCCGCCGCCGCGCCCCCGCTCGCCCTCGGCTCCCGCCGCGCTCGCAGCCTCCCGGCCGCTCGGGGCCCCCTCCCCTCTCCTCTCCCCTCCCTCGCTCGCCCGGGACTGCGGGCCGGCTCCGCGCATGCGCGGCCGGGCCGGCGCCCCGAGGCCGGGGGGCTGGGAATTCGTCTTCCTCCCGCCCGAGCGGGCCCCGTTTCCTGCCCGCCCGCTTCCCTCGTCTTGGCGGAAAGCTTCCGCCCACCTTCGCGGAGGCTCCCGGCGGCTTCCCGGGCTAACGGCCGGGGCAGGAGCGCGGAGAACGGCGGCGCCACCTGCGCGCACCACGCGTGAAGCCCGGCGCCAGGGGGTTCCAGAAAGTTCTGCCTCCGCACGCCCCGCGCTGGCCAGGCTTTCTTGGGGCCGCCTGGTTTTCTCTTTCTTCTCACAACCTCCCCCCAGCCCCCTTCTTTTTAACCTGCCCTGCGTTGCGGCTGTAGCTTCCCAAACGGACGACCCCCAGGAAAGTCCTAGAAAAGTTCTGTAAACAAGCTGGCATTTATTGGGCTCTACTCGCACATTTATAACTGGAGGGAGATCAGACTCCTGAAGGGTTCGGTGTGGATGGACAACATTGTCTTTTTTAGTCACTTAGTTGAGACATTCCCTAGAATTAGAAGTCCGAATCAACTCGATGGCAGTTTGGAGATTTCTGCTCTCTTGGCGCTCGTGCACGCGTGCGTATGTATTTCTTCAAACAGGCTGTGTGTATGTGTGTTTTTTCTTCAAACTGAGCCTGAAATTCCTTCTGTGTAAAATCAGGATGCAAACTTCTGGAGATACTGAAATATTAGAAAAGATAGCGTGTGGTAAAGGGTTAATCCCCAAGCCAGGTATGAAGTGAGCATTCAATAAGTTGCTGCTACCAAAGACTTTTTAGTGAAGCTTGAACAATGTTTTAAATCATTTTATTGGTGGCTCGTACAACTCTTATTGAAAAGAGATTGAACTCTTGCAAAAGGTAAAACACATAGGAATAAACTTAACCAATATGAGGTCCTTCATGAAAAAAATTATGAAGGCTGAAACATAATAAGAAAGACGACCCATCAGAAAAAAAATAAAAACACCCAAATCACTCTAGTTAATGAAATTCTACAAGTTATGGGTGCGTGAGAGGGAGGAACATATAACAGTATTCTAACATATGGAAGAATATGCGAGAAGCTGTGGACTTTGTTTCAAAAATGAAATCGACCTGTATTACCAAAGTTTAACGCATATTGCAAAGACAATCCCTTAATGGTGGTGACACAAGATTGGATGAATAGGCATTAATGGACTAACTGAAAGTCTCGACGTATATATGATATACTAAAAAAGGACATCACTTTTGTGAAAGTGACACTTTGCTTCATTGAGAAAAGGATCCCTTCTGCCGTAAAGTGTTGTTGTTAGGTCCTGTCCGGTCAGTTCTGACTCAGAGTGGCTCTGTACAACAGGAGAAAAATAAAAACCAAACCGTCCATTAAAGTTGTCAAGGAGTTTATCTTGCTTGGATTGTGGATGAACTGCTTGACAACTTGAATGGACTATCCCAGTCTTGTGTCATCCTCAAAATTGTTATGTTTGAGCTCACCATTGTGTCAGTTCAGCTCATGGACACACTCTTCCTCTTTTCGCTACCCTACTACTTAATCCTAAGTATGATGTCCTTCTCCAGGGACATCACCTGATAACATGTCCAAAGTACATGAGACAATCGCTTGACATCCTTGCTTCTAAGGAACATGTGGCTACACTTATTATAAGACAGATTTGTTGGTTCTTTTGGTAGTCTATGGTACTTTCAGTATTCTCCAGCACTATAATTCAAACAGATAGATTCTTCAGTCTCCAACTTTCACATGCATGTAAGGCAATTTGAAAATACCCTGGTTTGGATCAGGGGCTCCTTAGTCCTCAAGTACTATCCTTGCTTTTCAATACTTTCAATAGGTCTTGCGCAGCAGATTGACCAAATGCAACTCATCTTTTGATCTCTTGACTGTTGCTTCCATGAGCATTGGTTGTGGATCAAGAAGACAAAAATCCTTGACAACTTCAACCTTGTGTCATTTATCATGATGTTACCTATTGGCCCAATTTTGAGGATTTTGGTCTTCTTTAAAATTGAATCATAATCTATACTAAAGGCTACAAGTGCTTCAAGTCCTCCTCACTTTCATCTGCATATTGCAAGTTGTTAATAAGCCTTCCTCTAATCTTGATGCCATATTGTTCTTCATATAGTCCAGCTTCTCTAATGATTCGCTCAGCATTTAGACTGAACAAGTATAATGAGAAGATACAACCCTGACAACACCTTTACTGATTTTAAACCATGCAGTATTCCCTTGTTCTGATTGCACAACTGCCTCTTAATCCATGTATAAGTTCTGAACAGCACGGTGAAGTGTTCTGGAATTCCCATTCTTCCCACGGTTATCCAGTTTATTATGGCCCACACCATTGAATGCCTATGCATAGTCAATGAAACAGAAGTAAACATCTTTCTGGTATTCTCTGTTTATAGTCAAGATCCCTATGACATTACCAATGATATAGCCCTTATTCCATGTCCTCCTATGTATTTGGCTTAAACTTCTGGAAGTTCCTTATAAATGTACAGCTGCAACGAAGTAAAATTTTACTTGTGTGCGTTCTCAGTGAAAGAGTTCTATAGTTTGAGCATTCTGTTGAGTCACTTTTCTTTGGAATGGGCACATTTATGGATCTATTCCCATCAGCTGGCCAAGCACCTGTCTTCTACATTACCTGGCATAGACAAGTACGTGCTTCCGGAGCTTCATCAGCTTGCCTTGCTTTTCACTAATGCTTTTAGTGCAGCTTGAACTTTTCCCTTCAGAACCAGTAGTTCTTGCTCAGATTCTCCCTCCTGAAATGGCGGGATGTAGACTGGTTCCTTTTGGTACAGTGACTCTGTGGATTATTTCTTTTTAAGTGAACCTTTGTATATAGTTCCCACTGAAAGAACTGCTACCCACTGCCATCAAGTCAATTCTGACTCATTGCGACCCTGTAGGACACAGTAGAATTGCTCCCAAAGGTTTCCAAGGCTGTAAATATTTATGGGAACGGGCAACCTCATCTTTCTCCAGCATAGCAACTCATTGTCGATTTTAACCTGATATTTCAGCAGCCAACACCTAACTTTATTCTGAAAGAATAAAAGCGTTCGTTATTCACACGTTTGGAAGGAGTTCCCTTTTCTTGCACTGTAGTTACCAGTTATCAAGGGTTCTAATTGCTGAGGGAGGGAAACAGGAGCATTGGGTTTTTCTCCAGCAGTTTTTTGAGAGGATTCTGAATATGGTTATGCCAACTAGACATTCCTGGCTAAAGCCCAACCCACAAATCATTTGGCAGCATGATGACATCTCCTTGGGGGTGTGGCCTTTTTATAAGAAAGAGACCAAGCGGAGTTGGATCCTCTGACCCCTCTTCTGTTGGTGCTGGGTCTTGTGTCAGGTTCCTTAGTCTCCTGTGGTGCTTCCCTTCAATGCCAGGAGCCATCAGCAGACTGCATACTATGCATTCATTCCCATTCCGCTGACTTTGGATTCATTTACTTTTGCGTCCACCAGCCTGGGCCCCCCTCCTCCTGCTTCCTCATCCTGCTTCCTACTCTGTCAGCAGCCGAGAGTCAGTAGAAGTGGACTTGAACCAGAGTGGACTTACCAACTTCTACAGCAGTGGAAGCCATTTCTTTTTTTTTTTTCTAATCATTTTATTAGGGGCTCATACAACTCTTATCACAATCCATACACACATCAATTATGTAAAGCACATTTGTACATTCATTGTCCTCATCATTCTCAAAACATTTCCTCTCCACTTAAGCCCCCGGCATTAGGTCCTCATTTTTCCCCTCCCTCCCCGCTCTCCCCTCCCTCATGAGCCCTTGATAATTTATAAATTATTTTGTCATATCTTTCCCTGTCCAACGTCTCCCTTCACCCACTTTTCTGTTGTCCGTCCCCCACGGATGGGGTCACATATAGATCCGTGTAATCGGTTCCCTCTTTCCAAACCACTCTCCCTCTACCCTCCCAGTATCGCCACTCACACCACTGGTCCTGTAAGGATCATCTGCCCTGGATTCCCTGGATTTTCAGTTCCTATCTGTACCAGTGTACATCCTCTGGTCTAGCCAGACTTGCAAGGTCGAATTCATATCATGATAGTGGGAGCGGGGAGGAAGCCATTTCTATAGACAAACAAAACCAGGCATCACTGGTTTCGCTTCTCTAGCAGACCCCATCTAGCATATGGAATGTATGCATTCTGCACTTGGTTGGGGCTCTCCCTTTGGGGTCTCTCTTTTCCAGTCTCTCTGAAGAGCATGCATACATTTCCCCATAAACTGCTGGTTAGTGTGTGAAGTAATGTGGGTGCACTCAGCAGAGGGAGGTGTCCAGTGCAGGAGACCAAGGACTGGTGCAGCTGGAGTGGCTTTCCTAACCCATTCCATCCTCAACATGGCCAGACATGCATTCATTATTTCGTCCGTTGTTCCAAAATAAAATGCTTATCAAATGTTTAAATCAGTTGCAGTTGAATCAACTCCAAGTCAAGGTGACCCCGGCCGTGTCGGAGTGGGACTGTGCTCTGTAGAATTTCCTGGGACTGGTTTTCACAAGTAAATTGCCACGTCTCTGTTTCCTAGCAGTTTCCCGGTGGACTCACATCTCCAGCCTTTCAGTTAGCAACCAAGCATGTTAAACATTTGCACTATCCAGAGACTTTAGCAAGGAGGACACGTTCCACTACACCTCTGAAGTGCACGTGGTGGGAGACCCAGATGGAGGGCAGATTTTCCATGTTCGAAATGAGAAGAAGAAAATAAAGTAAATCTGTGCCTTTTCAACTTCCGGAGGACAGCATCGTCTACCACTTCCACTGTGGTATTATTTTATCAAGTTCTCTCTTTGCATGAAGCTCTCCTTTCTCTGTTTCTTTTCTACAGTGCTCATATTACAAAAAGAAACGGCGAGATGTGCGTGTTCTCCCTCAGGCTTCAGGCCTCCTTCTCTTCCTTCATGAGATCCATCACCGTGTTGTCTTCCAGATGCCTGGGTGGCGCAAGTGGTCTGTGCAATGGGCCATTTGAACCCAACCAGCGATGCGCTGCAGTCAAGTCCTGGCTATCTGCTTCCCTGTAGATTGTAGTCACCACAAAAACTGCCTGGAACAGCTCTACTGGGTAACACATGGGGTTGCTGTGAAATGGCAATGACTCCACAGCAGTTCATTCATCTGCTTGTTTGTGGTGTCTCCTTCCAGAAGCAATCGATGCAGATACATCATCTATGCATCTCTACGTTTACCAAGATAAACATTCTTTTTCTTTCTTTTCTTTTTTCTTTTTTTAACACAAATGGCAGTACATCACACATACCCTTCCACATGTTGCTTTACAAACCCTAAGGTGATTCTGGAGAGTGTTTCATGTTAGAGTCAATACAGCTGCACAGTAGTCCCGCATGTGGATCCGTCACAAGTAAAGACCCATCTGTTGGTACAGAGCATATAGATGGTTTTCGACTTTTTCTTACTGTCAGCTATGGGCAGGTGTCAGTTGGTGTCAATGTTAGAACACTCCATTTTTCAGGGAAAGCTAGACATGAGCAGTTCTTCCTTGGCTTTGGCAGTTTTACATTGCTCCCCGTAGAACCAAATGCATAAGGGAGCGGGGGCTCACTTGAAAAAGACTGAAGGAAAACATCTGGGCCAGACACTTTGAGACACAAACCTTGGTCTGTGTGGTAGTCACCTAATCTGGTGTCAATTTAAGGATTCAGAGTGTAGGGGTGAAGTCTAGGCTGTCAATCTGGAGATAGCCAATGAAACTTCTGTGTGGGCATGGCCCCCTGAGAATTTTGGGAAATCTGGTACTTCCTCCTTGAATGCAGAAGACACCTCTCTCTCTCTGCCACTCCCTGGGAGACTTTGCAGGAGACAAGTCACATGGACGCAACCAGACCTCAGAAGCCGGAGAAGCCACAGAGAGACCCCTACCAGCACTGAGATGCTTACAATGCCACCGGACCCAAAGCCTTTCTACCCACTGGCTTGAGATCGTCCTGCATTTGGCTTCATTGCATGTGTTTCATGAGTCTGAAGAGGACTTTATAGATTGGTATCGGACATAGGGGCTAATATCAGACTTATGGCCTCGGACTGGACTACGTTGGGATGTTTTCTCAATGTTCAATTCCTCTTGTATATGAACCTCTCCCTTATATATACCTATGCATGTTTATGAATTTGTTTCTCTAGTCTACCCGGACTAACAGTCTGTAACTTAGGTCTTTAACCGAAATCCACCCGAACACCTCTAAGCTGTTTCTAGCTGAGTACTCTTTATGGTCATGAGCACATTCACCAGATCCTTTCTGGTCCTTGACTAGACATTCTTGGGCTCCAACTCTACACCGTCTGAAGAACTGGGCAAGAAAAACACAGCAGCTGCACTCGAAACCTAGGACATTGGGAAGGCTGGACAGTACTTGTAAAGGGTATAACATTTAGAAGCTAGAAAAGGAGTAAGTGAAAGAAGGTCCCCCTCTCACCTGGGACCGGTTTCACAGGTGTGCATCCTGTGCAGTTGCACAGGACCCACCACTGGATGGCTTAATGCCTGGCTGTTGCCATCTTGAAGTGATGCATATTTTCCTCTTTTAACCTCTGTTTGTTAATGGAGTCCATTGGAACAATACATGTGAGTATAAGAGATAGGCACAATGGGTGTCCTCTGCGCCTTGCCACTCTATATATACGCATTCCTCACGTAATGACATGGTTAGGTTCCAAATGACCAGGTTGTTATTTGAAAATTGGCATTATACAGAAATGGAGGATACCACATCAGATCACGAAAAAGAGGATGACGACATTATTATATAACTGTCTAAGTCCATCATTGCATAATTCCATGGCTACTTAACTGCCAAACCACGGAGAACCCTCACAGCCAGTGCTATACTGGCCTTGCGCTCGGTATTCATTACTGCACACCTGTGGGGAATGACGTTTCCTAAAATGGCCCAAGACTATGTAACTCTTACCAAATGATTGATGATTGTGGGTCAGGGTGGGGAGGACTATGCAAATAAGATGTGTGTGACGCTAATAGAGGGGAGTGGTCAGTTTTCTTCACCATCCCCATGGCTATCAAGACGAGTCATGTTTGAAGCTGCAGCAGAGAGAAACCCAGAGAAGCTTGGAAAAGCACATTCAAGCTCTCTGTCTGAGGCGCGAGAGGCCCCCGAGAGCAGATGCTTCAGAGACTTCGGCAGAGACTCAGGAGGAGCACCAGGACTACGGGGTAGCTTCTCATCTGGCTGAGCCAGTGGAACTGTGGGACAGAGGAACAGGTCACCTGCCTTCCTGACCCATGGAGGCAAAGGCCAAGGGACCACATGGCTGAGAGACATGACTGCTGACTGAGGAGACCAATGACTGTATCCTTACTGTTGGCTGATCCTACTGGCTTTCCCAATAAGCCCCTTAACTGTGAGTATTATCTGTGAGTTCTGTGTGACCATTGCAATGATTTATCAACCCCAGCATGGATGTAGAGTGGGGTGGGAGGGACGGTTGGTGTCAGAACGAGTAATCAAGGATGGAACGTGGAGGCATGGCTGACTCTTGCCTCATGACAATGGAAAGCCAGAGGAAGTCAGATATGTCAACCTCCATGCTGTATACCTGCTCCCTGTCTCTGAGACAGGACTGTTTCTGAGTGCAGAAAGCCTTGGCTTTCTCCTGAGAAGCAGCTGGTGTTTCGAGTTGCTCGCCGTTAGGTTAGCAGCCCTAGCTAAGACTCTGCAAATGCAACGCCCACTACGGAGACTGGACAGGTTGCTAATCATCTAAATAATGTGTAAAGCACCCTTTGGGGACTGGACCCTGTAAAGCTGGTGTATAGAAGTATAATAGGTGTTTGGCTCATTTTGTCATCCCACTGAGTCGTTCTAGAGGTGGAATTATGTGGATGGTGCAGACCTGGGCAGTGCTGTATTCTATTGCAGGTGGGTCACTATGAGACAGAGCAGGAGAACGTTCTTTGGGAGGGACAGTCAGTGTCAGAATTGATAAATAAGGCTGGATCCTGGAGGCCTGGCTGACCTCCAATGCGGGATCCAGAAAGGTTTTTCCCCAGGTTGCCTCCCCCCATTATATATGCCAAACTTAAGACCACATGGTCATTGACTACACACCTGGAGGTCAGATGCTTAGAGGTTATCTCCCTGAGGGTATCGGCCATCTAGAGCAATCAGACTCTATAGTTTGTCCCACCCTAAGTAGGGCCCACTCCCTGCTGATAAGGAGTGTGGATTGTACCCCTGAAGGAGAGCCCAGAGACAAGATCAGCCAACTCAAGGAGGACCAAAGTTCGCCTGCCATCTTGAATCTAGGGTCCGCCCATCTTGCCCCTCCCCTTCGTATTGTGTGTATACCCCTAGCGCGTCCTCTTATCCTGTGTATGCCTATTGTATAGCCCCTTCCTGTTATGTATGTGGTTACCTGTAATCAGGAGGGCTTGCATGTTCCCGAAATGTTATTAGCTGTGATTAGAAATATATTCTCTCTCTGCACGGTCCTGTCTGCTGAGATCATGGCCGTCCTGGAGGTTAGCAATTGCATTCCTTGTCTTATCTGATGTCTTTTAATTTTACCCCTCAATTACACAACTGCCTCTTGGACCCATTCTAGTGTTGGGGCTGGTACCCCACACTCCACCTTGGGCTGTGGATGCTGATAGTGATGATTTTTTTCTCCTTTGTGAAGTTAAAGAATGTCAGATGTAAATGTGAACTTCGAGACAATAAAATAGTTCCTAAGTGAGGAGTCAGTGCAGCATCCCCCACGTTCTATGAGCACAGAATTTTGGTGGCTGTGCCAGGGTCTGGAGTTCGTGACTCGGGAATGACCAGGCTGCACTCACGGAGAACTTCAGAGGAACTAGCATACCAGAAGATCTATCCCTGAATGTTGGGTGGGCATAGAGTCTATGCTTTATCTTCAAGAGCAAGGTCACAGAAGGGGAATGGGCAGGGGTTTTCTAGAGCAGACAAGGTTGTCAGTACAGGAGGAAGGGGCTGGGGGCTGGGTGCATTTTAGGAATGAGGAAGTCCACTTCCAAAGGTTAAAATTTCCTATTCAGATTTTCCTTACAAATGTAAGAGTATCGCACCCAAAATCCGCTGGCGGTGATGGAGTTGGACAGAGACAGCCCCAAGAGCCTCTGCTTTCTAGTTGAACCGGGACTTTCATGGAATGCAGAAAGAAGAAAGTAGCGTTCTAAGAAACATAACCAAGGATCCCTGGCATATCCTTTTTTATTGATACTATTGCTCAGTATTAGGCAGCTGTGCACAGCGACATAAGGAAAAGGAGAGATGGGCATCCAACCCCGAGCTTCCTTTGCAAAGTCACCAGCGCTTCCTTACTCCTCAGGAAGCAAAAAGTGGTGGTAAAATATGCCGTTATCAATAGCTAAAATGAAAACAGCTGAGTTAGCTTTGTGTGTTTCCACATCTGGCCTGACTCCTTTCGTCCCTTAACTACTAGAAAGGAAATCCACTTTTGATTCCTTTCAAAGATATTCTTAACCTGAACTCACCCATCTTCCTCTTTGGTCAATCCTTGAGGCAAGAATTCTCCCATTGTGATGAGTTTTGTTGCTATTAATAAATATGAAAACAGTTAACCATATGTTGTGTGTGCCTGGTGCCCTAGCAGCCACCGAGAAAAGGCTCCTGTAGCCTACAAGTAATTATCCATCTGCTATCCTTCATGCGCCACCCCGGTACCCCCTACATCTATTTATCCTTACAAGGTTTAGGATCCTTGAAGACCTGGCTGGATCTTTTTTATCTCTATCCCCAACCACCCCCACCATCCCCCACCCCAGCCTAGCACAGTGCCTGAAGTACAGGAGTTGGTCTGTACGTACTGTTCTTTCTCAAGACTTTAGTGTGAATTGGGTGAAGGTTTACAGAACAAATCCATTTTCCATTCAGCAGTTCTTTTTTTTATTTGTATAAACATTTATTTCAGAAAATGCCATACTGTTTTTCATAATGGCTGTACAACTCTGCAATTCCACCAGCAATGCATGAACTTTCCAATATCTCCATATCCTCTCCAACATTTATTTTCTTTTTTTTTGGTGAATTTAAAAAAAAATCATTTTATTAGGGGCTCATACAACTCTTATCACAATCCATACACACATCAATTGTGTAAAGTGCATTTGTACATTCATTGCCCTCATCATTCTCAAAACA